ATCTCCCAACACCATCCAAGGACCACTACATTTCTCCTTAAGGTTTTGTAATTCCGACCAAAGAACTCTTCTCTCCAACAGCCTTGGACTTGCATAAACGAACGTTGCAAGTTCTAGCTTACCATTTTCCTTCCAGAGTAAATTGGTGTGAATATACTGATGATGATGCTTTAAAATGTTGACTTGGACAATATCAACATTCCAAGGTAACCAAATACCACCTGAATAACCCACTGCTTCAGTAAAAAAGTAATCACTAAAACCAAGTCTTCTAATTTTACGACCTGCTTTCAAACCACTAGAACGGGTTTCTAAAAGAACTAGAATATCTATTTTGTGTCTTTGAACAAGATCTTTTATTAAGGGGATGAAGCCTTTCTTGCCCATACCCCTACAGTTCCAACAGAAAACAAACATAAAAAACAAATATCTGTTTTAGCCTAGTTTTTTTTCTCTATGTATTACCAAAAAAAAAAAAAAAACCCCTAGAAGGAACATATATAAAGAGGCGCACAAGAGGAGCCTATTTGTTAAAAACAAATCAGATTTTTAATCAATAAAAATCCCTTCCAAAAGGGCGCTCCATCAAAGAGAGAGAGAATAGAATTTGTTGCAAATCAAATCTCATCAAATCTTGCCAACAACATCCTATCATATTCGAATTTTGAATTTGAAATTTGAAAATTTAAATGTTTGATAATTAATTAATTTAACTAATTAAATTAATTAGTAATGACTTGGACTATCCAAGCTCATTACATTAACCATGCGCCCTCTACCCCTTTAGGTGGAGTTCCAAACTACTTCTTGGGCTAATAACTATTATAAGGCCCAATACTTTTAATGCTAGAGCATCTAGACAATTAGGTGTTTGTGTGTGACCCACAGTGTTTTAAAACCCGGCTCAGACCGGCCGGGTCGACCCGGGACTCGGTGACCCGGTGGGTTCCCCGGTCCGAGCGGGTAGTTGGACCGGTTATGCAGTCAGCCCAGATTGGACCGGTTGACCCGGCCGAAACCCGGCGACTCGGCGACCTGGTTGACTCGGGTTAAACCGGTTTTTCCTTCTTTTCTTTTTTTTTTGGTAAATTTTTTTTTTTTGTTGATAAGAACTCTTGAATTAAATCATATTCATATTTTATGATGAATATGATTAAAAGTAAGGTGAAAATAATAAGGTATTTTAGATTAGTGTAGTATCGTTTATGTAATTTAGTTGCATCTTATAATGATCTCATGAAGTTAAGTGGTGATAAACACTGATGGTCTCATAATCTCATCTGAACGGTGGACACTTTTTTCTTATAGTGTATATTTCATGCATACTATTTGTTATCATGATTTAATTTATCCGTATCATGTCAAGCACAAAAAGTGCATTTAACTTATATTGCATGGTTTAATCCAATATTAGGATACGGTCTAGAGCTAGAAGCTTAGAAGTATATAATATTTGCTATCATTGAAAATCAATTTATTTCTTGAAGCTCATTGATAGTTTTCTTATATGAATTTTTATTAATATAAGTAATATTTTTATATTTTTAATATGTGAACAGTAAAACCGGTTCAACCCGGTTGAACCAGTGACCCAGTACCTCGACCGGTTCGATGACCGGTCCGAGTTTTAAAACACTGGTGACCCATTAGGTCCAACATAGCCACTGACATAAATGGGCTTGGGCCCAATAAGCCCACAACTCATCTAATGACAACACAGAGCACTAGCAATATTTTGTTGCCCCAGAACTAGTTAGATTAATGATTTGATCATCCTATTAAACATATTTGGTTGCCGTATGTTTGTCCCTTCGTCTCGGTTACCTTTCCATAAAACCTAGGGTAAAGAAACGTATCATCCCTTGCGGTTTAGGGTTAGCTTTTTATGAAATAGGGAGTCTTCAATTTACTGACTCTAAAGGCAGATCATCTTATGATCTCTTTTACTATGCATAGATTCCCGAGTCACTGTAAATGTCATCCTGATTTCTCCGGTTTAAGGATAACCTAATCTCTCACAGAGATTTGACGAATTCCTTCAGCTTATCACCCTAGCCCTGTGCCCTATCAGGACAAGCCCAAGAGCATACCTATGAATCTCCATGTTTCAGGCAGATGAGGTATACAGTCAAAGCATGCCTTCTAGAACAGAGTCTAAGAGATAACTTCTGGTCTAAGGAAAGACATACCCAAATATAAAGAGACTACTCTAATGATACTATCTGTGAGATTTCCTCATAGAGTCTCTTTGTGGGTCCGTTCAGTGCGAGCTATACTCTTATAGGTCCACCCACGACTTTAGCTAAGACATCTCCATATCTGTAGCACATGAGGTTTATACCTTGTATCCCTATACAAGTAGATAAGTCATGCTAGTCTTACCCGAGATTATTGACCTCAGTATCTCTAGACTAGGAACATAATATTAGGAATAAGCATCCGGTATTCTTGAATCCTCATGATCGTGATCTCATCGCAGATATTCAAGAGATACCTATTTTATTCCACGAGGTTTATCAAGTTATTCATAATATATTAACATTAATATCGAGACAGAATTATGAAACAAGATAAATAGTGCTTTTATTTATTTGTGACAATATTAAAAAGGTCTACATCTATGTCCTTATTTAATCATAAGATTGTCTCTAGGACACCCAAATACTAACAATGTGAAGAGCTGTTGCTTAGTAATTTTGAATGTTTGTTAAAAATTATATTATATTTTACTGATTGAGAAAATTATATTAGATTTTACTTTTTTTATTAATCTCATTGCATTTCTTTGTTATTTTTTTTATTGACTCTTGTAATTTTGAATGTTTGTTAAAAATTCATATGATTTTTTAAAATCTTATAAATCCATATTGTCCTTTCAAATCTTATACAAAATTTTAAAATCCTTTAAAATCTAATTTTACGAAATCTTGATTGTAATTTTTTTTTTATAAAAAAGTCTTTAAAGTTTCCCCAATTCTAAATAGTCTTTTAAAATCCTAATTCAATACACTTCCCTAATGGGGCGTTTGGTTAAAGGATTTGTAAGAGATTGATGGGTAAATGATAAATGGACATATCAGTTAACCATGTTTGCTTCAAGATTTTTTCACACTTACCCACCTAAGTGAGTTTCCTACGTAACCAAGATAACCATGTTTTCTCACCGTTTAGCCGGCGAAGTGTATCCCATGAGCAGTGTGGTATTTATGAAAAGCTGCCTCATTGCTCAGACAAAATTCTAAGCGACACTACCCTCACTTTGCGCGCGAAAGGAAAATGGCAATCATGTCGACTTTGCAGAGTTGTTAGAGTGGCTTTTTTTAAAGAGCAACACTTGCACAGAAACATCAAAAGTTAACATTTGTGCGACTGGATGAGCGAAATATCAAAAGGTTAACACTTCACCTTCGCTCATCTTTGTGGTCTGATACCGAAACATCAACAATCATCAGTGAGCACGAAGATGAAAAATTTATGGGAGGTAACTCGTTCGAAGAAATTATTTTTTCGTTTGGCTTTTTGGGTGCTTTCCTCACAAAGAGTGTGTTTGCCCCTTCATCCATGGTGTTAAATTGCATGTAGGTACAGTGCGTACGTGTCAAGAGAAGAGGGTGGTGTCGAGAAGCATTGGTGTCCGACAGTAGCATTTACTTTGCGTTTGTTGTTTACTGTCGACTACATCATCCACAACCTCTCCGGTAAGTCTCTGTTTCTTAAGCATCTTGATTGAGTAATTTATCATGTGCCCTTGCCTAGAGTTCAATGTCATCAGTGGGTAAAATGGTTCATTTCTTTTCTGCCCTCGTTTTGATTTTTTTATTTATTTTCTTAAAGTGGTCCAAAAACTACAGGAAAAGTTGGATGAGTCTTGATGTGTGTCCTTGTTTTAAAAATTGAATGAGTTGGGTAAAGAACTGGTTGATTATTCTCCTTCCCCTCATGATGCTAAACCATAATGTCTTTGGCTTTTTTATGAATTTAGATAAGCAAAGCATTTACTTAGTGGATAGATTTATGAGAATATAGCGGATTCATCATATATCGATTTTTGTAAGATCTCATCATATATGCTTGCTGTTTTGACATGAATTCAGCCTCTGACCGTATGAATTTTGACATGATTCATCATATATTTGAGATCGAGTTTTGAAATGGAGAAAATAATTTCACGAAAATATTTCTTACAACAAGTTAATTTTTTTTGGGTCTCCTATTTCTTACAACAAGTTTATTTGTACTTGAATCAGATCATCAATGAATCTGAGAATATATTAAAAAAGTTTAATTGGCATAAGAAGTTAGTTCAATGTCGTTGTATCATTTCCTCGGGTAGTAAAAAAAAAATTAATGTGGTTTGATCCACCATTAAGTCATATTTCTCTTCCTGTAATTATTTACATGTTTTAGGCAAATAAAAAAAAAAGTTAAAAAAATATTGATGGTTCCCCTTGCATTTATAAGGTGAGACGTTGGTAGTTGTTGGGAATGTCTTTTCTTCTATAATGCTTCATTATTGTGCATATGTGTTTTAGGCTATAGTTATAAGAAGGTTTTCCTTTTTTCTGAATTGGACACACACAAATCACATTTTTTGTATATCTTTCTCTGCATCCATGCACATTCATAGGGAGAGATGTTTAATAATCAGAAACATGTATTGAAGAGTTAACTCCAGCTCAAAAATAATGATCATCTTCTATAATTTGTTCAAAGCTATAGTATTTACATACACTAGCTAGCTGAAAAAAAACGTGTTATTGAAAGGAAAGCAATGATTGTGTACATAACTCACGAGCCTACTGTAATTGGTCAAATCGGGTTTGCATTTGACCGATAGGTCACTTGATGAGTATTAGTGTGAATCTAACTTGATGATGTAATTATTATCATATAGCTTTTGCATTTTATTTACTAATTTGTACGTTTCCCTGATTTGCGCTAGTGTTCGGGAAATTTTTTTTGTTGTTAACTGATTTAATTTGTCCCTTTCGTGTTAGATCATGGCTCTGGGGGATGGAATGGAGTCTAGTTTCGTTCTTGCACTCGTTATGAATTTCCAGTGTTTGAATGAATTGACCATGTTGTTAGTCAGTCTGTGTGCTTTGTTAATACGGCATCTTCAAACCAGGAGAAATTATAGGAGGAGAGTAACATTGGATCATTGCGGCAGGGCTAGGGTTAGGGAAGTTAACTTCCTTAGAATAGTACATATAAGTGACGCTGCTTGTATTGATAATACAAGGAAGGACAGAAGGTCTTTTCATAAATTATGTGCGTTGGTTAAAACAGTTGGGATGCTGCAGACAACTGCGTATATGGGTGTGGAAGAGATGGTCGCAATATTTCTGCACATATTGGCCCATGATGTGAAGAATAGAATTATAAAAAGACAATTCATGAGGTCCGGTGAAACCATCAGTAGGCAGTTCTCAAATGTGTTACTCGCTATTTTACGATGTCATACTGTTTTGCTGAAGCAGCCTGAGCCAGTTGCGGAAACATCGACTGATGAAAGATGGAAGTGGTTCAAGGTAACATAATAGCATAGTGTTTAGGGGAAATATGTTTCTTACATTCATCTCCATGCATGTTTGAAATGGTTATTAATTTTGTGGTTTGAAATACTAGAATTGTTTGGGCGCTCTCGATGGGACACACATAAAGATAAATCCCCTGCAAGCTGACAAGCCAAGATATCGTACTAGGAAGGGTGACATAGCAACAAATGTGTTAGGGGTTTGTTCTCAGGACGGTCAGTTCATTTTTGTATTGCTTGGATGGGAGGGGTCAGCCGCAGATTCAAGGGTTCTAAGAGATGCAATCGCGCGGCCACACGGGTTAAGGGTGCCAAAAGGTAGTGAATTTTTGTTGTGTAATTGATAATTAACTGTCCATTCTGTTGAAAATTTACGTAACAATTTTTTGTATCCATGATTTGTGTTTGTGTAGGTTACTATTACCTGTATGATGCTGGATACATGAACGGTGAAGGTTTCCTGACACCGTATAGAGGACAACGATATCATCTAACTGAATGGAGGCACGGGCCTCAACCAAGGACACCACAAGAATTTTTTAATATGAAGCACTCATCTGCAAGGAATGTCATAGAGCGATGTTTTGGGATGCTGAAGGGGCGTTGGGCAATTGTCAGGTCAAAGTCATTTTATCCGGTTAAGACGCAATGCAAGATTATAACAACTTGTTGCTTGCTTCATAACCACATAAGGAGAGAAATGACAATGGATCCTTTAGAGGTTGATGATGTCAACATGCAGCTAGGTGAAGATGACATTGGCGGAAATGAAATGATTACTCATGTTGAGTCTTCCAATGCATGGACACTTTGGAGGGATGAACTGGCGCATAATATGTTTAACACGTGGAGGAATCGTGCTTGAGTTGGAGTCTTTTTAACTAGTCTTTGCTGATTTATGTTTCTCGGATATTATGTAGTAGTTATTTCGCTTAGGAAACTGTTACCATCTGCTGTATTTTCGTTGTATAATTACTTATCTTGACAGCGTATTACGTAACATGTATGAGTTAATCATGGTGTGGTTGAATTAGTGTTTACGACCATTTATTTCCGTATCTTCACTGTATGCGTAATATATAAGTACATGTTGTTATATTTAGTAATCTAACGTTCTCTTATTTTGAGACCAATAGCAGAAAACTGTCTTTGTTTCATTCACATTATGGCAGAAAGAAGTCAGCAATCACAAAAGCGAAGTAATCATATGTGGACCGCTGAAGAGGACAAAGTCCTAATTGAATGTCTGTCCGAGATTGGATCATGTTGGAGGGGAGATAACGGCTTTAAGGCTGGATATTCCAATGCAGTGGAGAAGATGATGCACCAGAGGATCCCTGGTTGTTCCCTTCGGTCAATTCCTCACATCACTTCCAGGGTGAAGTTGCTTAAAAAACAATATAATGTTATACATGAAATGGTTGGAGGAAACGGTGGAAGCGGCTTTGGTTGGAACGATTCAAAAAAAATGATTGATGTTGAGAAGGAAATATTCAATGAATGGGTGAAGGTAACGATTATTATTTTGGTTTGAGTTGCATTATTTAAGGCAATTTCATTATTGTCACTATATATAATGCAGAACATGTGTTATTTGTGCAGAGCCACCCTACTGCAAAGGGTCTATACAACAAGCCATTCCCTCACTATGAGGCTTTGGGTGTCATATTTGGCAAGGATGTGGCTAGTGGAGGTAATGTAGAATGCCCACAAGAATCAGTGAACCATATGGAACGAGTCCATGCTTTTGTTGATGAGAGCGGAACTGTATTTGATGACTACCTAGATCTGATCGGGGACTACATACCCGAACCATGCCAAGAAACTGCAGTGCCTGAAATTCTAACCGAAGACCAAGTCGAAGCACCATCTGTTTCTGTAGCTAATGCCCGAAAGGGAAAGAAAAGGCAAAGGACCCCAGATCCGGTAGTTGTAGAGGTGGTTGGTGTCATGAATCGTATTTCCCAAAATTACCAGAAAACTACCGATACCATGGTCAAGTTGGTTGCTTGCTTTGAACAACAGAATGCTGGAAGAAACAGGCGGATGTCTATTATAACTAAGCTAGAAAAATTTGAATATCTAACTATGGAGCAGATTCTACATGTTGCTGTCAAACTGGGAAAGGATAGCAATTTGACAGACATCTTCATGCAATGTGACGATGGAAAAAGGCGGTGCATGGTGTCTGGGTTGTTGTCTGATTACATCTAATAATAGACAGCATTATTTTTTGGTCCAGTAGGGATATATCGTGTCTTTGTTTAAGTCTTAACTTTTGCTGTGGTTTGTTTTCCTATAACATGTTGTAAATACCATGCTAGGTAATCATTGTACACACATGGCTGCAGTAGAGTCCTCATACAAATACTGACTCTTTCTTGTGTTTTGGGATTTTTTGTACGGTCCATATCTAATGCCAAGTGATCTCTATTTTTGGTGAGGGATACTGAGTTCCAACACATATTGGCACACTTATGACACCTTTGAATCCATTGCTGGGACTGGTAAGTTGCATCTGCCAATCCATGTAAGGTATGAGTAATAGCATTTGCCATTGTATTTCCCAAAATTATTCACATGCAACAGTTGATTTGTTCTGCATCTGTGACAGTGGATATGAACATAATGTCATTAACTTATTTGCTTAATTCAATTCTTGTCAGTTTTTTTGGTGCTGATACAAAGGCTACAAAGTGGTTGAATGTGGATGGCATTGGAGTGATTTATAACATCATTGGTTTATTTGGATCTGCAACAGGTTGTCATCATTGACACCTTTGCCAAAAAGGATGCTAATATTAAGGTGTACAACATTTACAGAAGTGGACATTAGTTACATGCATAGAAGAACAGCTGTGTTTGGTTGAATTTGTATAAGTTCAATAGTTTGTGTTGATTATTTATGTAACCTTGTTAAGTATGTCCGACTATTGACCTTGCTTGATCAAGGAAGTGTGTAATGTATGACATTTGAAACGATTCAATATCTTATTGGATTTTCCAGTACCAGGTTGTTAGGCTCAAACACTTTCATATTCTCTTTTTACTCAATTGAGCCAATAATGGGTTTTCAGTTTTTTTATTTATTTTCATGTTGCCATATTATTACAGCCTTATAATCTTTATTGATAATGTGATTGTTCAGAAATTTGTGAACTTTCATACATTGGAAGGGTAGAGAATTAGAGATGAGAAGTCACTTATTTATGGGATTCAATCTCTCTCTATTTATTGGATATTCACAAAATGTACTTGGGTGCATCACAAAGTTATTCATTGCAAATGTTAACAGGGATGTATTCAATGGAAGTTATAAACTGTTTTAATTGTCTTCAATGGTCTCTGCACAATACAGGTCTTTTTCACCAGTTATTAATGACACAGGTTATTATACATTGTTATTAATGACAAGTGTGCCAAATGGTGATTGTCCTGCTCAAAAAATTAAACAAATTAATGCTTATGACATGAGCTATTGTGATACAGAATTTATATAAAGTAATACAGCAATTTGGAACTTAATCATATAATTTCATATATTGAAATAACAACAATTACAACTTCTTGGTCTTGCTTTTGATCCAGTTCACCAAACATACAGAGTTTCTCCTTCAACCAAGGAATAAAAAAAAACTACATTTCTTCCTTTTATATCTGTACAGAGTTTAATTCTTTAAAGTTCGTATGTCATTCCAACTTTGACCAAACGTTTGTGGGGGATATCAAATATTTTGTCAGTCTGTCTCTGGATATTCTTCAAGAAATTGTAGGCATAATCTATCAAAATCCTCTTTCCAATGTTAGCTCCTTTGCTAGCAATCACCTCGTTTTCACCAATCAAGTGAACAACAATACCTGCACGTGATGCTTTTTCTACTGCCTCAATCTCTTTCTTAATTGCCTCTTGTAGTCTTTCATCATTACTACTAACTTCAAGTGCTCCATCAACCTTATCAACATTCAATTTTTCATCATATTGATCATCTTCCAACACATGCACTTCAAACAGTGTGTCCACCGGCTAGATGAAGCAGGTTCATCTAACCTTTGCTGGAAGAAAACAGTAACCAGCAGAATTTTGATACAAAAAAGGAAATTAGATAATTGACCTTTAAAAGTCAGCAATCAATTAAGGATGACCATGTTCTTGTTCCATTCCACTTTGGTAAACCAGTTCATAGCTAGCTCATGCAATCAGCTATGCAGACAATGAGGGCAAAATCACATCATTGTCCTATAAATGGAACCAAAATCAATGATTGTCTTTTAGGATGGAGTTAAGTAATACCAACCCCACAGTAAAAATCTTTTTTTTTTTGTATTACTCTTTGCCTAACTCTGACTAACTTTGCCTCATGTCAATTTTGCCTTCCACAACCGATGTCTGATTGGCATATAATTTAAGGGAACACAAATATATATATCAATACTCAAAACATTATAATCAATATTTTTACGTGCTATTTCTTATCATGTTCCAACAAGACGCTTTTTCCGGTATTAATACACATCAATATATGGATATTGCATATCTATTGTTGAATTTTTAGGCCACTTGAATTCAACAATAGATCTAATGCTTTAAACTCTAGTCAAACTCAAACCAAGAATAGTCACCGCATAAACACATGATCATGGAATACAGGAGAAGTGCAGACTGGAAATGTAAATAATGTTGAGATAGAAAAATTGAAAAAACAAACATAACAAAAGGCTATAATAATAAGACTGAGTTCAGTACCAAACACTTCATCGAGGTCCTTAGGATTCTCCCATTTTTCCCCTTCAGTAATTATCGTCTTAAGTATTCCTCCATCCTTGCATATGTCCTTTACACTTGTCCAAGATAGCAACTCCACATCAAACTGTAGAGTTGCATTTGGGGGAATGGTGGGAGGAGACCCAGACTCTCCATAAGCCAACTCTGGGGGTATTGTGAAAATGGCATTTCACCCTTCTTCATGGTTTTGATGCCTTCATCCCATCCCTTGATCACTTGCCCTGCATTAAACAAACAAGAGACGAACATTAATAAAATTTTCGTAATCAACTGCAACTAACCGAACAAATCCTCTCATGTTAAAAATTATGTCTAACTCTTTCTTCATTAATAATAATTGAATCTCAACTCTTTAATGCATATAAAGAAAAAATAGGCACAAAAAATTCACATAATCCTAAAATTTTAACATCCCGAAGAAATTACACCATATACATAATAATATACAGCTTCTAAATTTATTTTTTCACCAAATAAGGAATCAAAATAAAAAACTACTAGATCCCAATATTTTATAATTTGTATCCTATCCGAAATCAACCTGATTTTTTTTTTTAATATTTATCATTTCACACCCCTAAAATAACCAAAACAGAAAAATATTAATCAGGAACCATTAATGAATGTATGTACCTTGGCCAAGCTTGAACTTGAAAGGTGTGTTCCTGTCACGGCTAGAATCAAATTGAGTTCCATCGAGCAAGGTTCCAGTATAATGCACTGCAAGAAAGGAAATAAACACAAACACACACAATTATACTGCTCCGTCAATTTCCAAATCCAATTCCGTATGATAGATAGATCATGCAATTCACAGAGAACGAAGAAAAGTACATGATGATGAACAGTGTATGACATTTACGAAGGAGGAAGATATTAAAAATGGCATTAACGTGATTACATTCAACTTCGTCTCCAGTGTTAGGTGTTTCCCATCCTTCACCCTCCTTGACCAGCTTCTTTTTGAGTCCATTCTTCCCAATCTCCTTCTCCTCCCCAACCTTGAGAATCGGGCTCTCTATCTCATCCTCTTCCATCTTCATGTTACCCTCAGTTAGGAACTCGAAATCCTCCTCCATCGC